GCAAAGGTTTATTGTTCCTAAGAGTTTAATTACATTTGTAATATTCACAACATATTAAAACCACCCTCGTCACAGCAATGTGTCTGATGATATGCTGATTTTGTGCAGGAGACTGGGGTCTTTTGCGCAGACGTGTGTGTGTTTGTATGTGTGTTTGTATGTGTGTGCTTTCATCTCCTGGGCGTTTGCAGTTTGCCTCCGAGAGGTGTTTTTCATTTTCTAGCCCTCATGTCACATTCCAGCTGCCTTGATTGCTACAAGCAGGTTGGCAAATATTTGCTGTAATTTCACAAGGGTTTATTTTTCTAGCCTAAATCCAGGCAAGCTGGAACTGGACCATTCGTATGCCAATCTTCTTGACAGTTGTGCTTTGATCAAATCCAGTCAAGAAAACACTTTTACATTTTTTTTTACCATTGTCATCTTTTTACCTAGAATGAATTCCCTCAAAAATAGTATGCCTCCCTAAGAAGTCAAACCCCCACTCAAACACATCATCTGCTTTGCAACTCATTACTGGGAACACTGCATTTTACCGGCTTAATCATTACTGTTAACAGACGTAAGGTTCAGGGTAGGTCTGCATGATATAGTTACAGATACTGTATATCACAAGAGTAAAGTAATGGTAAAATAGCCATGCATATTTTTACAACACTGGTTTTTAGTCAATTCATAAATATGAATATTAAAGATACGTCCAGAGAACTAGTTTTTTTAATTGCAAACCAAGCATACAGATGGAGAGCTGCATGCAGTATCAGTAGAAGCTGGGCTTGGACAATCCTTTAGTATTGTGAACTATCCTTAATGCTCATTGCTCTGCTTATTTTCCATATATTGTTACAAGATTTATTTTTCATATTATGTGCTTTAAAAGCTAAGGAATACACTCAGACATGTGTTAGCAATTATTCTTGCAGATTATTTTGTATGTTGCTATTACACATGTTATGATAGAGGACTATGGGGGGGACACACTATCTGTCCTCTGTTCTTAGTTCAGCTCAGAGCTTCCGTTTGACAAAAGGACTTTTATTTGTTTAGACATTTGTCCTTTTGATTTGGAGATTTACCTCTGCTGAGCATTTTTACTGTGTTTTGAAACAGCCTTATGGGTCATTTAGAGTTTAGCTCACATTCTAGCCAAAGGACTTGAAAATATCTGATATTGCAGTTGCTTACTGTAACAGACAAGTACATTGTTAACTCACATTTTAGAGTTCTGGCAACCAAAGGAGTCTAATGTATTCCAAGTAGTTGCAGGATGTTATTAGAATGAAACGGTGCAGTGCTTTTCTAGAGGCTTGAGGACAGAGAGGGAATTATGGCAAGATTGTCTTGCATATCGTCATTGTTGAAGCTGTTATTAAGTTTGAGGTTATTGCATTAAAAAGGTCCTGAAGTTAAGCTATTTTTTCCCTTTTTCCCTTTTTCTCTCATGCACTGTAGAAACTGAAAAATGCATTTTAAAACAGATTCCACCTTGTTCTTTGTCCTGTAGGTGTGGTGAGGCCGTTGAGAAGAACAAGCACCTGATCACGTTTGACCAGAAAGAGTACCAGCAGGAGCTGAAAAAGAACTACAACCGCCTGAGAGAGAATCTGAGGCCGATGCTGGAGAGGAAGATTCCTGAGCTCTATAAACCCATCATCAGGCCTCGGCTGGAGAACAGGTAAACAGAGCCTCCAGGTCAAACAGCCAATACTGTTTTGACAAGAGACGGCAGTGAGAAAAAAGAACACATGTCATTGATCTTGTCATTACTCTAAAATAGCTGAACACAAAGGAAAGTGAATACAAATGGAATTGAGCAGAGATCCATTCACACTGCCTCTACAAATATTGATGGCTAAACCGGAGCCACTGTAAACAGATTGAGTGTTGAACCAAGGCCATGGCCACTGGGCATCCATGTGTAAGCAAAGACTGATCGCACACTAAGTGCTTTTATGATCAATCATGGTAATCTTGATACATTTTATAGCAATGCATGTCCATGCTGAGGAATAAGTGTGTACCTCAAAGGATACTTATCCCGCAAATTTAGATTTGTACATCGATAACTCAGCCTCTGGAAGAATAGAGCCTCCAATAATCAGTTTATTGTTGTTTCTAGAATATACTGTAATGAGGGATGATATTTGTAAATAAAATATAGTTTATCAACACATATTATACACAGATGAATCTGCAAGAGATTCTTATCGGCCAATACAATAGACTGTTGATTTATCAGCCATGTTATAATAATACAAAATGACATCAAATGTTATTTAGAAGATGCTTCCATCCAAAGTAACGTACATGTACTTACAGTAAGGCAGATGCCTACGGGAGCAGTATCTACGTATCTTTCCCAAGTATTTCAACATGTTTACTGGTGGGATGAATGATTGCAGATCAGGCATAACCTTAATATCTTACCCAGAATCCTCTCGTATATCCCCATGTCTAACATCTTGGACTTGGTGAAGGCATAAGCTAATAGTGAGATTAGTAAGAACAAATCTCACACTTTTGAAAGCCATGTGTTATTGTTACCGACCAATTCTACTCATCTTCCTCATATAATCATCCTTATCTTGTGTTTTTGTCTTTTCCCTGCATCCCTCATCCACTTATCCCCTCCATCTCACAGGGATTCCTTCAAACGTCTAAGTTTCCGCAGAACTCAGGAGGAAAACTCCTGAGATGCCATGGCTTTTCTAAGAGTGAGCGCTATGGAGAGGAAGGGGAGACTGTCAAACAACCGTGACAGGAAAAGAGAAGATAAGATGAAAGAGGAGGAAAATGAGGAAAGGAGCTGCTGGTGGTACCCTCTCACTCCTCTGCTCTGGAGCAGTGCTTTCTCTCCACAATAGAGGACTCTTAGTTTCTCAACAGTTCGGCAGTGTTTATTAACGTCTGCTGCACGTCCAAGATTTTGTTGTTGCTTGTTACAGGAGGCAAAATGGAGAGTGAGCACATAAACATAAAGAGGTTGGAAACTCATGCAAAGTGTAGCTTATTGAGCATTTCACTGTAAAATCTTCAGATGCTTTGGCTCTGTTGATTTATTTTTTATATGATGCAAGTCCTAATAATGCTGCAAACATTTCCTATGGGTTGGATCCTCTCTGATGTCCTTGCTGGCCCAGGGCCTGTGTGTGTGCTTATAATGCTTGTCTCCTGTGTGTACATGTATGTAAATGTGTGAATGAGTGTCTGTTTTTTTAGATAATGTATGGAGCAGAAAGTTGTTAATGTCATACTGAAGTCCCGTTGTACATAATAATGCTAAATGATTCTGTTGTGTGCTAAAGGGCCTCTGAAATTCCACTCTGGGGGTGTCTAGGCATGACATTTGAAAGTGAGAGCAGCAAGAGTAAGGATGGATTTGTGCACTGGATATATAGACACACTTTCCAGTGTTAGCTGTTGAAGCTGTTTATTGTAATAAATACAGTACCTGGCCATGTAGCTAATGGAAGAGTTTAACTTATTGAGAGTTATCTGATGTAATTACAGAGGACACAGATAGACAAATCTGAGACTCTATATTACACAGGGCTTTTCTTTAAATCCACATTTTGTATAGTAGAGGTATTACGACAAAAAGTTAAGATGTTTACAAAGTATGAAAAAACTATTTTGCTTTATAATTTTATGGAAATGTATTTTTAGATAAATAACAGCAATAATGGATTCAGTGACTAAGCTGTAACAATCTCAGTGTATAATTCTATTAGCTTCAGTACCTGTTTGTAAATAGTCCACTTCATACGATAGACACAGTGCCAAATGTAATTCCTTCCTTATTTACTTAGGAACTGAGATAATTAACTAGAACATAACTTAACATTTTGTCACTCCACACAACTGTGCTTTGCAATGTGAATTATGTTTACTCCATTCGTCTGAAAACATCCCAGAGGAGAAATGTACATCTTTGCAGTATTGGCAATTTTATTTTATTTGACATTCATGAAACAACTCATGTCATTGTCATTATTTTGTACCTGATCACGCATTTTAGTAATGTCCATGTACTTTCTTTTAACACATTATTAAAAAAACATTTGAAAGCCTTTATGCTCTGTTTCTAGGTACATCTCTTATTTTGTAACTGTAGAATGTTGAAAGACTAAATAAGATAATAAAAGTCATACAGGGTATGTATTTATTGTGATTATTAATTCAAATGTATACCTATTTTTGAAATGTGCAATACATTGCTAAAATGTGTAGTGATAAGATCTGTTTTGTAGGCATTGAACCACTGGAGACTGCATTTATGTTTCTTTATCTTTACATCATACCTGTTTTGTTTCAATAAATATGTTTTTTTGTATGTGTCATGTGTTGAAGCACCTGAATAAAACCTAATATATGCACATATTTGTCATCACTGTGTTTAGTGACACATTTTAAAACTGGGTTAATTAGGTTCAATTGAAATGGCCTTTCTATGAAGGTTTGTTATTGCGGTAATAATAATAAAATATTTGTATAAAGCATCTTTCAAAAAGGTGTTGCAGAGTGCGTTACATAGTGTAAACAGGAACACAAAACATTTAAGGGTTCAAGACTCCAGTGAAAATAATCTCACACCAAAAAGCAGAGGTGGGAGAAGTAGCCTATCGATACTGGAGTAAAAGTAGCCTACATTGTTTTCCTGCATTCAAAATGTTACTCAAGTGGAGACATTTCCCCACCACTTTTTCTAACAAAGTTGACCACCAATGAGCCATATTATTCAGTCTCTCCTATCAGTTTTCTGAAATATTTCTACTACATTTATGATGGTTTTTAATGATGATTACATTCAGAAAATGTATTTCTGTTTTTACTGACATAACATGTATCTATGGTTAAAAATAATAATATATATATATATATAAATATATCTATTGAAGCAGAAATATTGGACAAACTAAACGACAGTTTAAAAGGCGGGAAGAATCTGTGGGAAAAACTACAATCGTTTTGCAGTCGCGTCAGTATGACGCAATCACTGAGCGACGTTGACATGACGGACACAGGTTTGTTGTACATTTCATTCACAACAAGCGAGTACTCGTGATGATCATCGGTATGTCAACAGTTTCTTTTTTTAATACATTTTCTTTGAATCTCCGATAGCTGCCATGATGTTGCTGATTAATGACGGCGCTCCCGTTGTAGTTTAGGACGTTGAGTTTGAGTTACAGGAACCACACTTGTAATACAAAGTTAGCCCAAACTCTCGCGTGTCATACTTTCAGTCATCTTCAGGCCAACTTAAATTCGAAACTCAAACATTCATTCCTGAAAACTCGATTTCTCTTTGTCGTTTTTTACGATTCACAACGTGTTACTGCACTGTCAGTTCCTCCTCTCACACACATGTATGTGACTACTTACAGTATGCTTGTGACTGACAAGACCACTGAACCTCCACAGACAAGTTGAATGATTCCAGGTTTCGCTGCAATTAAAAAAAAGATGCATGCAGGCAATAACCTATATCTATCTTTCTTTACTCCACTACTACTACCGTTTCTTTGTCATTTAAGGCAGATGTTTTTAGCCAACCTCCCTTTTTGTGTGTGTTTGCTCATAATTTTATAAATCTACTCCTGCACTGAATAACCTCTGGGGATTTCCTGCTGCAAATGGTAATTGCACCTCTGTCTTGCCAAGCCTGCTTCTTGCCCCAAGCAGGCTAAATGGAAGTATTATGACAGCAACAACTCTTATATTCAGCTGGATAGCTTAAATGTAGGCTGCTGTTCCTGGTGCTGGGCTAAGGTGTTTTACTTATACTGCATAATTAACACAGATCAAAACAGGAATCTAAAACTATTTTCCTGTTTGGCATCATTTGTGGAATGTGTGAAATGGAGTTTGGCATTTAAGTTTGATTTGAGCATACATACACTGACATATTTGGCTTACCACTGTAACCTGGCAGAACACTTAATTGACAAACTTAAAGTGGACCTATCATGCTATATTTAAATGATATATTGTAGGGCCATACCTATATAAGGTATATTTATACGTTTCTGTTTTCAAAATACCAAACAGATCATGCATTTTAGCCATGCCTCATTTCGCTCTATGTGCTGTTTGCTGTCTACGGGTCTGATTCTGCTGACCACGCCCCCCTGCAGGAGAGGTGAGCTGTGCTCTGATCAGCTGCTGGGCTGTCAGAAGAGGGGGAGAAAAAGAGATCTCCGTCCTCCGTGTTTTATTATATAGAGTCGTTATTCATTTGTTTTAAAGCTCAATAAATAACAAAGAAGACCTTTGACCGGCACTTTTCTAATTTTGTCCGGAAGATTTAAACTTTAACGGACATCTTGACCGGCGAAAGTAACTGAAACTGAAACTCTGCCGCACGGTCCCCTCGTTCCTTGGAAGAGGCGGAGAGGTGGGTGTTTGTCATCTGCTGGTGGACTAACCGGAGAGAATTACAGTGCTTGCCTCCCCGCAAGCGTTTGCAGCGGGAGCAAACGCTTGCCTCGGGGAGGGAGAAAAAAAGCCACAGCGGAGAATAAACAGAAGGGTAACCATGTTAACTATGGGCGGGAAGTCTTCTTCGCTGCTTTTGTGGCAGACTACAGCGCCACTTACAGGCCTGGCATATGTACTACAGCGTCTCCGAGCTTTCGAGCGGCAATGGCCGGCCGTGGCCCAACCCCACATTCCCCTGATAGGTGGACAGTTGGCCCAATAGCCGTAGCGCCACCGTCCTGACGTCAGGACAGTGTTCAAATCTGGATCAGTTTTTATCAGATCCGTTGCAGCCCCTTTTTTAGAGATTTGGGTATGGAGGAAAATAGAGAGGGTTGTGTTTTCTGACACTTGGTGAGTTCCCTGGAACACCGGGGACACATATTCATGTATAAAAGACGTACAAAAGTGCATTTTGCATGATAGGTCCCCTTTAAGTAAACACAGACCACGGGAAGCTATAGTATACATCAACTAATGGTTTGTTCGAAAATTCCATAAACACACACACTGTCATTTAACCTAAGATCAATTCAAAAGTTTGGAACTTGGAAACAAAAACTGAAATAAATAAAACTTTATTTTTGCATCTTAGATCTGGCAGCCCAGCTTTGACACCATTTGTGAGACATGCAGCCAGACAAGAACCTAAACCCCGACACGGATGACCTTCCACTCCGAGCCAATACTAACCACATACTTGTCAGGCATTATGTGCTGGACCTGATGCTTCATTTTGACAGGAAGGTCATCAGTGGTAGTGTCGTTCTGTTCTTGGAGCCTTCCTCTGGATCGGGGTCTAAGACTGAGGATGGCATTGGACCTGGATCTTGCATTATAGAAGCTGGAAGGAGTCACGATGTATATGTGTGCAGATCTCACAATGAGGAAACAGTGGAGGATGGTACAGAAGGAATTGGGAAGGCTATGACAAAGGTGGAGAAGATACTTGGTGCTGGAAAAAGAGATGGAGCTGAATTTCAGGCTCTGTCTGGCGTACGTGCACAGACTCCACCTGAAACAGAAATGATTCAGTCTTCACATTTGTGGGAAACAACCAGTGACGATGATTTCACCTTAGTGATGGACTGCTGTGACCTCCATGTGTCAAAGGTGGAAGAGGTGGACATCTCCTCTGTGTTTGCATCTGAGAGCTCAGGTGTCAGATTAGTCAACCGGCAAACAGCCTTTATTCAGAACCTTATCTCTATGCCCTCTGACCAATGGAGGCAGAAGCACCAGCTCTTTTCGCTGTGCAGCCAGGCGCCTGGTGCTCAGGACGGCAGCTCACTGCAATTCTATCGAGACCAATGGAGTCTGCAGGTGAGGAAGAAGGGGGTCGCCTCAGCTCAGGGGTTTCCTCGTGCTCTCAGGATTTGCTATGAGACAAGACCAACAGGAGGCTCCGTGAGGTGGACCAAGGACCAGGACAACAGGTTGTTTTTCGTAGTTATATCTCATTATCAATTTATATCAGGATATAGAACGTTTCAGGTCAATCAAATAAATAGTTTATAAAAAACTATGGTAAAGACTTTTTTGTAGACTCCTGTGTGAATTAAATACGTGACAAATAAAAGTAACTGAGTATTTTATAATGTTAACAACTTATTTGCGACGTGAACATAATAGTTTAAAGTTAAATTATTTAGAAGAAAATCAGACATTTAGGGCTAGAGTACATCAATATAGAAATTACATAGAGAAATGTATACGATATAAAACATTTTATAATTTCAAAGATATGTATTGTCATATACGTAGCCCAGCCTTTTTAGTAGTATGATAACACTTCTTCCTAAATAACTGGTGGCAGATGCTTTTGGAATTACAGTGTAACGTTTTGAGCTTCCCATGTTAGAATAGAATAATACTAATTCATTAATTCACTAAAACATGCTTCAAGCTATTGTATCTCATTTTTTGTGTCTGGATGCTTTATGTGTATGTTGGTGTGTTTGGTGTATCCTTTGAGCATTGAAATGAGGGTTGTTTACAGTTTACCATTGTTTACCCTTCCAGGGTGTGTGTTTACACCGCCGGCTCTCCCATCAACAACCGAGCCCTCTTCCCCTGCCAGGAACCGCCTGTTGCCATGTCAACATGGCAGGCAACAGTGCGGGCCCCCAGTGAGTGTGTGGTTCTGATGAGCGGGGAGGAGGAGGCTGTACCTGTTGGGGACGGGGACACAAGTAAGCTTATTTTACTTTTTTGACAACCTGTAGAAATCAGGTCGATTTGATTTTAATGTCTCTGGATTGGTAAGGGCTAAATAAAAATATGTTATATGAAAACAACGTCAGACTAAATAGTGAAGTGAAACAAAATGGCACCTTCTGTCCAAACAATTCCTTAATTTCTCCATGCTTTCTTTCTGCCCGTTATCCCCTCCATTTCCCTAGCATTGACATTTTTATACTTTTTCTCTTTCCCTTCTGCTCTCTTCAGGCTTGTTAATCTGGAATTACCATGTCACTATGCCCATGCCCGCCTCCACCTTCACCTTGGCAGTGGGCCACTGGCGCCAAGTCCCAGCAGAAATTGCCCCAGCAGTGGAAAGAGGGCTGAAGACGGATTGTAGTAAGACTGCCAAACTCGGGGCTAGACCCGGGGAAAGGGTCCAGGCTGACCAAATGTCTGGCCATGGGAGCTCCATCAGTGAAGTAGTAAAGGGCTCTCCACTCAAGACTGGCAGGTATTTTATTGTTTTTCCTGTGTTCAATTCTTCTTGTAATATTTCCTTCTCTTCAGACTGTTATTAACCCAGGTCTGGCCCTTCGAGATTCCATGGTAAAACTTTCCTCTTGCCATACTTTAAATGGTGCAGGTGAAGTTAGGGTTCACCCCTCAATATGCTTTTTATGACAAGTACAATAAAGTGTTCAGTGCGCAGCAGAGATTAATTTTGGAGACCAAAATAAGTAAAGCCAACATACTATTTATGGAGGTACAGGATGTAGAGTACAGGCTGGGGCATAGTGAGGGCTGGCTTGCTGTGGGCAGGGCAGGGTGGGGCTGGGGTCTCCCTCTCCACCGGGCAGCAGGTTGGCAGATCTGCCAGTGGTTTCCAGTAATCCTCCTCCTCCTCCTCCTCCTCCTCCCCTCATGGTTTCCCTCCAGCAGCAGCCCAGCTGTAGCCTGCTGCCGGCAGCACAAATCTCCCACTACAAGGAAGGCCTTTATTTTCAGTGAGTGGCTGGAAGGAAACTTGGATGTCGCTCAAATCCTTTGGAAGGGTTCTGTTGCAGAGGATGGAGTTAGTGATGGATTGGATTCAGAGTGAATGAGATTGCATGTCGGCACCTAGATATTCTTGGATCACTGTGGTTTCCTCTTGTGACTTATGTATTCCATATTTCCATGCTAAGTATAGAGAGACGGGACAAACTGTGCCATTTTGGGTTAACCAACTCAAGAACTGTATTTTGTTTTTATAATAAGAGTATTCATCAAATCTTTAGTCATAACGTTGGATTTAACTTTTATTTCCTGTTTAATCTGCTACAGCGGAGACCAGACCACCCACTCAGACTCTGCACTCTGTTACTCTTCCCTTGAGGATGCGACACTCTCTGTAACTGATTATTCAGGCATAGTGGATGACAGCATCTCTTGTTCCCATGACGACTACCCTTGCCGATTCACTGAGGAGTCGGCTAGGTCCCAGCGGGTGATCCCGCACCGTGTGTTTGGCCCCGTCAGCTTGCTGCAGAAGGCCCAGGTGGAGAGCTAATTATATTTCATGTGATAAGAAGAGACAGTTAGTCAGTTAATGTTTGTGTCATTATGTTAGCGGTTTTCAACTGCTGCTGTACGACGCTGTGTTCCTGTGAGCACCACTTAAAAACATTCCTCATTCTCTAAATGGGAATCTCCTACTGGAATCAATTTTATAAATATAAGGTCAATAGTGTTTTCTTGTTTGTCAGTTCTAAGTGGATGATGCCTCTTAGATTTTTGACCAAACATGTTCTTTTAAATATTTTTGATATTTTTGATATCTTCTGACCTTTAACACATGGAATCATAATAGACAATACATTATGTGCAACAGCCAATACATGCACTCACAACTATTGTATATTCTTCCCATATGTATCAACATACACACATCTGCTTCAAATAAAATGTGCAACTTTATAGTCTTCAGTTGTTTTGTTTCTGAAACTTGTTGCCTTCCTTTTGCAGGTGGGAGTCCTTAAGCTGTTGCCTCGATGTTTGGCTGCAGCTCACACCATTCTGGGGGTCCATCCTTTTCCCCGCCTTGATGTCCTCATCGTCCCAGCAGGCTTCTCCAGTCTGGGCATGGCAAGGTAATGACACAAAGGCCTTTGATAGAATGGTGAATAGTGTGAATTAGGCAAATTGATGAAAGATCAAAGCTTTAGGAAGTTTGGAAGACGTAGATATCTAGTTGAACAGGCCCATAAAGTAAATAACTAAGAGATTTTTTGGAGTAATAAGTGCACACAATTAACGACATAGAAAATCATTTACAAATGTATAGAAACAGAGAAGAAGTTTGTTGTTCCTTTTAACGTTATCCTGCTGCTTTTGGTTTGGTTTTTCAAGGAAAAGGTTTCTGGGATGCATGATTAATGACATTCTTCACATTTCCAAACCCTCTCACTCTGTCTCAATCTTTTGTGTGGAGATCTTCCACATTGGAATGTTTTACTGACTTCAGGAGTCTAACTCCCTCTCAACTCTCTCCAGTCACTTGTCATCTCTTTTTTCACCAACACATTATCTTTTAACACTGGCCTAGATGTCTAGCATGAATTCATATAAGCATGTCTCTGGTGCTTATAAAATGATGTTAACATTGTGAGTGTGTGACAAAATGTTGACACTATTGAACATTTTTAACATTAAAATACTAGATAAAAACCAGACAAAAAGTAAACACATAAAAGTTGGCAGACTAAGGACCAGGCGTCTAAAACGTTTTCCCATACCATTTCCCAGTCGTCTTACACTTTACCATCATTAACCTTCTCCTTTTCTTTTGTTTTTATACTCTGTCCCACTTCTTTCATTCATTTCCAAAAACGCTAATGCTCGCTTTATCCTGTTCCAAAACTCACCTCCTCTTTCTTCCCTTCATCCCTTTTTCCATTCCAAACAGCTCTCTCCCTTTAACACATTTCCACCACATCTCTTAACTTGCTCACATTTCTTAAGATTTTAGCCATATTATTGAAACTCTCCGTCAAGTTTCCTGTGCACTATCCTTTCTGGACCCCTTCCTTCAAAAGTACCATGGTTCTTCCTTCTTTGAACTATTTTCTCATACCTTTTTAAAGACCCCTTATCCACAACCTAAACCCTGAGCCACGATCCTCTTGTTGAGAGAGCTAGCTGACCTCTTCTCTGGGTTGAGTTTCATTGACTCTGTGAGCCAGTCAATATTTTGCTGTGTTAACATCTTCTTTTTATCAGCTTTCAGATTTCATATATTCTGCAGGCTCTCTGCTTCTCACTAGACCTATGTGTATTTATATATGTATGTTTGTGCTGTTTTAGTGGAGGTCTTGGGGCATGTGGTATAGCACACAGCCTCAGGGTGAAAGATTTAATGTCCTTTGTACTATAAATAATTCAGCATTATGTATTTAATGTGTTCCTCTGCCCTTTACTCATTTTCTTTTATTACCATACTCCTGTTTTCTGTTATATTTCTATCCTGAAAATCAATACTGTCCTACTTTTGTCACTTATTTTCCACCCTTTAGGTCTCTTACCATTTGTTCACTTTGTGTTCCTCTCTTTGCCCTAATAATATCCCTAGATCCTCAAGCCCCCTGTGTTTGCTGTCCTTCTCTGTCCTCTCCACTTCTTTGTTTAGTCAATCACTTTTCAGTATGGCCTTCAGCCTTTTACAATAGCGACAGTTTCTCTGGAAATCTAGAGTTATATATTCTCTGCAATATAGTACTTTCATCTGGCATATGGTATGCCTGTAGATATGACTGAAAGCCAGCTGGTAGCCATATAATTGAAGTTAAAGTTGGAAATTGAAGTAAAATAACAACCATCAATGGACAGCCTTTTTTTAAATTGTGTTGATAAACTAGAATGATTAAGGAGGTCAATGAACGTTGTCCCAGTGTCTGCGGCCTGCAACCACAGTCTCCCTTTCTCTCTGTCTGCCTCTCACCTCTCCCCCTGGGGCCTCCCTGGAGAAAAGTGTCTCAGTCAGGATATGAGCGCATACCTGCATATGTATTCAGTGTGAATATCTGACGTTATAGCCATGTGTAGTCTAAATAAGAAATATTTTGAAGAACAGAAGATGACAGGAGGGTCGCTTTCTGGACCTACTTCATAACTTTGCATACTTATTTTGACTACATTACAGAGTGCTCTTTGATCCACGGAAAATCTTCTTCTCGTCTTGTGAAAATCTGTCTCCCCGGTGTATTTGTTTTGAACAGACATCAAGTGTTAACAGTTCTGCTGCGGTTGTTGCCTGACGGATGTTTTCTTTCCTTTATGAGGATAGCTCCGAGGCACTCAGCCCTCTCGCCCTGGCTGTTTAGACTGCAGTTAGCTGCAGATGACAGTGAAGAGATTTAGAGCCTTCATTAGACCGCACCTGCACTGACTCCCTATAAAACTCTGCGTGGTTCCCAACTCAATGTCAAATCATTGCATCCTCCCCTCAGTCCGGGTGGTTAGGTCCCTCATGCCTCCCCACTTAATCACAGGGTTGTGCCATAAGGAAGCGGGAGGTCAACCAAAATGGAAGCGTAGATTGAGATGGAGATGAGAGAGAGATGAAGAGGGTAAAGGAGGGGTTCACGACAGGCCAGCGGACCCCCAGGATGTGGGAGAGGATGTGTGGATTATTCCCAGCAACAAAAGCCATTAGCCCCTGGAAGGACTTCAGAGACTGGTGCTATTTAATCTAGAGATTGGGAGGTATGTGGGCCCCAGTGCTTGGGATCAAGCCAAGTGCAGTTTTTGTGCATCGCCTCAGTGGAAACGGCAGGAGTTGAGGGGCTATGGGACAGGGAGCTGTGGCAAGCCGGGATGAAGCTGTTGTAGCGTGATACAGGGAGGGGAGGGCAAAAGCAAAACAGGGGAGGATTCAAGTGGCGTGAAGTCTTTATTCTGAGATACGAGGGGGAGGGCAGGAAACTGAAGATTAAGGAGTCAAGTAAGGGCAGGTCTTCATTCAAGACTGTGCCACATACACTGCACCCACAGTTCTTTCTGATTCTCACACACACACACACACACACACACACACACACACACACACACACACACACACACACACACACACACACACACACACACACACACACACACACACACACACACACACACACACACACACACACACACACACACAAAGGCTGACACAAATGAAGCTTCCAGTGGATAAAGCCTGTCAGAAGTTCATAGGATTTTTCACAACCTATTCCATGTTATGTTATACAGCAAGTAAGAGAATGAATCTGTTATATTTTAACATAATCTGCATCTTTAAACGTTGTGAGTTATAAGCCTGCAATCAGCGTATATGCAAGACATGTATTTTCTTTCTTTATGTCTCATACTTTTTTTCTTCTGTTTCCATGACAAAAGAGGCTCAGAGAGTGGAATGTAAAGGCACTGCTGTGTGTCCTCTGCCCATGCTGTTAGTAAAATCTTTAAGTCACCGTGAAGCTGAAAAGGGAGAGAAAAGAAAATACAGTATGGTTAAACATTGATAGAACGAGGGACATCAAGGTGTCTGACATACAGGAAACAAAACACAGTTTAAAAGAGCTGTCGTCTGTGAGCACAGTCAGAACATCTCTTAGGAAATGGATTAAATAAGTTGAGTGTCCTTGTAGGACATGGGAATGCTGTAAATATTGTGAATCTGCTCCAAGCTTTTAGGTCAGACCTCCCTGTGTATCCTGAACTGGATGAGGGTGTTTGTGTGTATATATGTGCATTTGTGTCTTTGATTGTTATGTGCCTTATCGCATACTATTTTTATTTTATTTGGATGTAATCTCATCACATCTCGACTACGTCATTTGGTTCCGACTGGGAGTGACAGGAAGGGCAAAGCATTTCCTCTCGCCCTTTGAAGCTGAGGTCTGTGTGTCCCACAGCGCTGGCTGGACTAATCAGAGATCTCTGTGTATGCAGTGTGCCCAAATGAAGACATGTCTGACAGCCCTAGAGAGCGGTGGTTTCCCTGCATTTTATTGAGGATTGACACAAGTGTTGAAACAGGCCTTTTAGTAATGTGGGTAATGTTGGGTTTTGTTTTGTTTAACTGTAGACAGGCAGATTCCTGTGCTTGTGATTGTATGAATGCGAGTATTGTTCAAATAAGGGAGTATGGATGTGTATTTAGAGAGAGGGTGTGACGTCAGGGGAATGCTAAACGGATCATTTGTAATTGCACGTGCCTTTTTTCTCTGATGGGAACATTATCAAATTGCGTAAGTTATATGTTTTTGATGTTAGGGTTATCCTTTTGTTGTAGCTGTTACTGAGCCAGATCAACACGTAAAGCTTTGTTGTTGCTGTTGGGGTTTTTCAGGGACAAGGGAAGGGAAGGGAGGCCCGCCCCAAACCACTTGATGGAGAGCCATGATAAACCCACACACCAGCTTTAACATATCTGTCTCTCAACATGCCTCATTGCATTAGGCAGAATAACAAGAACGCATTGCACAGGCTTTAGTTTTTTATACTTTAACACATACATTGTACACATCATTTCCCATGAGATTACTTTGGTCATTCTCTTCTTTTGTTTTTATTCCTTTTACACAAACCTGTCCTCGGGGATGGCAATACGAAGAAATGGAGAAAAAAAGGATTGAGTAGTAAAAATGCCTGTTCCTTCTGCAGTAGAGCCAAACTATGCAGCCATATAACTGTCACAGTCACTAAGTAAAAATTATGACTGGTGTACACCTCTTGACCTCTGTAAGTGGCACTGGAGGATTTTCAGCCTGACTTCAGTTGACTGCATTGTTTGTTTATGGGCTAGCAGGAAGTTACATTGGCCATTGGTCCCTGTTGGGAGGAAGCGGGGGGCTGGAGGGCGGAGTTAGCACCCTGCAGGATAATCCCCCGTTGCCCTGGAGCTATTCAGTCTACCACCTGAGCTCTTTTTTTTTTACTTTAACAGGACCAGCATGTTTTAGATTTAGACCATTAACAAGAAATGGCATATTCTTTTAATAACTGCTAACCATTTCTCTTAAAATACCGAACGTTTTTTTTTGGCATTTTGTGTCATAAATGTCTGTAGGGTAGAAATGAATGCTATTCCCACATGTTAATGCAGCGGTAA